TAGAGGGCAGTGTCACTGGCCCTCATATGTGGGATCCGAACTGGGGCCCTCTGGCATCCCAAACCAGCTCTTAATCAACGTGCCACTCGGCCGGCCCTCACCTAACTTTTTGAATCTGTTAATTTATGTCTCACTATTATTTCTTCAAATATATTACCTGCCCTTTCTCCTGGGACTCCAATTACACATGTGTTAGATATTCTGATATTGTTCCACAGGTCCCTGAAGCTCTGTTATTGGCCAATATTTTTCTTGCTGCTCTTCTGATGGGTAATTTCTATTGCTATCGTCAAACTCCCTGACTCTTCCCTATTTCGTTTCCATCTGCTGTTAAGCCCATCCAATGAATACTTTATTTCAGATTTTTTAAAATGCTGTAACTTTCCACTTGATTTTTTGTTTCTATTTTTCTACTGAGATTTCCTATCCATTATTTTTCTTTCCACCCATGAGCATAATTATAATAGCTGCTTTAAAATCTGTATCTGCAATATTGAACATCTTGAGTCATCTAGGGGTTGGTCTCCATTGACTGTCTTTTCTAGTGTGAATGGGTCATATTTTTCTGTTTCTTCACATGTCAACAAAGTTTGGAATATATCCTGGATATTGTGAATAAGAGGTTGTAGAGATTGTGGGTTCTGTTATATTCCTCCAAAGAGCATTGATTATTTAGTTTAAGTGGACAGTTAACTTGGCGGAACTCAAACTGCAAAACTTCATTTCCTATACAAGCGAGCAGCTGCTCAATTTTCAGTTCATTTGTGTAGACTTACCTGGGATGCTTGGAGTCTGCCACCACATACATGCATGCTTCAGTAATCAGCCAAAGCTTTGGGCAGAGTTTATACCCAGAATTTAAGGCTCCACCTCTCTAGCTCTACCTTTTCTGGAATTTATTCCTGTATTTTCCAGTACTTATGGGTGCCCCCAAACTTATCCCCTTCAAGCCAATAAGAGTGTTGGCTTTCTATCAGTATTTTAACCATTTTAAAAGGTACAAATTAGGACCTACACTCAGGCTAAAAGCCATAATAAACAAGAAATTCTCCTCACATCATTCTCGTCTTCCAAATGCCAACTCCTTTCCACTGTCTGCCTGCTTTTGGTTACTCTCCAGGAGCCTCAGGTAATTGTTTTTAATATGTTATCCAGAGTTTATAGCTGTTATCTATAAAAGGGATTGTCCAACAAGAGCTTACCAGTCACACTAGACATGGACCCAATAAATATTTCTAGCTCTCTGCAGTCAGGGCACATGGAAGGATTGTGCTTTCTGTTTCTTTCATGGATGGGATGGTAACATATAAGATGTAAGTAGAAATTATGGCTTGTATTTTCCAAATGGGGGCTATTCCATCAACCTGGGTCCTGAATTAATACAGACTCCAGCCAATTCTTGTTTAAAATGTATTGTGATCAAGAAACAAATCTGCATCAAGCTGCCTCTGTTATACAAATACGATCAATGCCTTCATAAGTAGCCAAAACACTCTGGTGCAAGCCAAATTCATGGTCATGTCCTTGCCCATAACCCTCACCCTTTCTTTAGCGCTAGCATCTGGAGCAGGTTAAAGAGCCTCTGTGACCCACCCTGTTCTCCCCCACATACTCAGGTGACATCTGGAGATGTCACAGTGTGCTTCTCCACAGCTGACTGCAGCCACATCAGAAAGAACTCACTTTTGGCCTTACAGCTTACTCATTCACAGGGGCACAATACTGGAGTGCTTAAGATCATGAGCTCTGGATTCAGAGTCCTGAGTTCAAATCTTAGCTTTGCCGTCACATGAGCTTGGATTTCTCACTTACCCTCTCTGTACCTTAATTTCCTCATCTATAAACCAGGGGTGCCAAGATCACACAGAGTATATTTTGGAGTGTGTGGCACGTAGCTAGCATTCAAAAAAATTATAGCTGTTTATCCCATTTACTCAACATTCAGCAAAAGTTGCTGACAGCTTATCATCTATCTGCCAGGCACTGTTCTAGGCACTAGGAATATGAGGTCTGACAATTAAGTTCGTGAACTCATCCTAGAAAAAATGCTACATACTTCATTGCTGAATATCACTGTGGTCACCTTCAAAATACTCCCCTTGAGAAGCTATGCACCAATATATAATCCACCCTTCAAACCAATTTTGAAATTCTTTTTCTGGAATGGCCATCAAAGCTATCGTCGTATTACCCTTGATGTCCTGAATGTCATCAAAATGTCATCTTTTCAATACTTCCTTTATCTTATGGTAAAGAAAGAAGTCATTGGGGGCCAGATCAGGTGAGNAATTAATGTCCCACTAACATACTGAAACTTTTCTTTCTAAACGTGTCTGTTAGGAATGCTTTTGGCTATAACAGAACTTCCAACTGGCAATGGCTTAAATACAAACAGTATTATTTCTCCTCATAAACAAGCCCAGAAATAGGTCATTGCTATCAATTCAGCACTTAATCAATGACAGGGCTCTGGGTTGGTGTCTCAGAAATCCTCTTGGCCTTCTCCTGGTCATAACAGATTCGAAACATCATAGCCTCACATGACTGTATGAGAACTGCATGGCTCATTGGACAGATTTTCACCTCATGTGCCTGCCTCTCAGCATGAAGGAAAAGCTTTAGGACATGCCCCTCAGCAAAATTCCCCTTACACTCCATTGGTCAGAACTGAGTCACATGCCCACCTCCAGAGCAGAGATAGGCCTGCTTTTCCCGAGATCAAGGAATCTCTGCCAGAACAGGAAAGGGGGGGGGTAGCTTTCGTGTAGAAAATAAAGTGTCCGACCCACCAAGCTCCCCAATCACCTCTTAATTTTAAAATCCAGTCCTCATCCTGTTTGACCACTGTTGACAACTCCCTTTCTCTTGATCCTTCCTTCCTCTCGCTCTTGTGACACACTTTTTCTCCTGTCCCCCTTTACTTCTACTTTACTCTTCTTTTACATGTGCACGATCACTTTCTCTTTTCCCTTGATATTTGCTCCCTGGGCAATCTCATCCACTACCATAATAACCCCAGTCTCAACCTAGATAATTGACTTCTCTAAAACTCAAGCCTTTACATAGATCCCGTCCTATCTTTCCAAGTGCCTATTGCCCATCTCTATCTAAATAGACCAGGTAGGCTCGTTATGTTGCAAATACCACAACCAACTGGCATTATACAATAGAATACGTACTGATTCATGTAACATGAAAATTTACAGGTTGCGTGACTTTGGAGTCAGTTTAATTCATCAACTCACTATCATCAAGGGCTCAATTCCATTCCAGCTCTCTTATCTGACTTCTGTCTGTCTAACTCACCCTAAGACTGGCTTCTCTCGTGGCGACAGAATGCCTGTAGGTCCTCCAGACTCCGCAATCATATAAAACGACCTCATCCAAAAGGAAAGAGTCAAAAGGAGCTTCCTTTCTAGAAGCCCCGAGGAAAGTCTCCTTGACCCAAGTTGGGCCATGCACCCATTCCTAAAGTACCAGAAAATTAAATTGTTTTAGATAAGTTTAGGCCTAAAGCAAAATGCCCCAGTTCCATCAGAGTTCAGATTCCCCCAAAACACTTGTACTGCCCAAGGAGGCATGGGTACCCAAACAGAAATGAAGGCCATCTCCCAAGGCAAAGGAGAACTGGTAATGGGACAGCAACTACAGGGCCTACCCAACGTCCCTCGGGCTCACCAAACTCAAAATATCAAACCAAGTTAATAACTTTAGTCCCTGCCCTCATCCCACATTTGCTCCTCCAGTTCTTTTGTTGTTTTTGTTTTTGCTATCTTAATTAATGGCATCATTTGCCACGTTCATTAACCTGAGGCTTTACTCTGGATTCTTCCCAACATTCACTCTGTTACTAAGCCCTACTAATGCTGCTTTCCCACTATTCCCTCATCCCCAGTGCTACCGCCATAGCCTTTGTTCAGGCCCTCATCATCTTCTGTGAGGATTTCTGCAATCACCTCCCAATTAGTTTCTTACCTTCGGGCTCTCTCTGCCTCAGTTTATCTTCCGTATGTTACCCTACAGTGTTCTTTCTGCATGATCTGAACCTTCTCGACAGATTCATAGTTCCTGCCACTCCCAGAGGTAAAACCACATGACTCTAGGTGCCCTAAACTCATTCTGCACCGTCTTGCCCTCACATCTCAGACTGTTTGCCATATGCAGGACACCTCTCTTCTCCTTCTCATCTTCTAATCATCCTTCACAATCCAGCTGAAATACAACTTCTATTATAAAGTTATATTTATTTCTCTACCCCCCCCAAGGAGAAGTAATTACTAAGGCCCTAGAACCCCCGAGTTATTTGTGCCCCATTTTGTTTGCACTTATGACATTGTGTTGTAATTATTTGGACATACATATGTTTTCTTCCATCATATCATGAATTCTTTGGGAAGTTACAGCATAGTAGCCCATTAATTTGCTGTAGATCAAATATATCTACTAAGAGTTAATATTGTACTACTTCACACAAAATTTAGAAAACTTGTAACAGTATGGGTCCACTTAATCTCCCCTTATCTATCTTTTATGTACTACATAATTATCACATGCAATATATGTACATACAGTATATTATGAGCTGCATAAGACAATGTTATAATTTTTGCCTTAAACAGTTAATATGTATATTAAAAAATGTTTTGTCTTTTGTATTTACTCATATACGTACCATTTCTGATTCTCTTTATTCCTTTCTAAAGAT